CCCAAACACACACACACAACCACACACAAAAAAAAATGTCTTGCAGGCATTTAAGGCCCCAATTTTATGGGAAGGACCAGCCTTTGCTTGGTGGCAATGAAAGATTTCCCTTTGTTCGTTGGTCCTAAGAGTCGGTGCATTCTGTGTGAATGGCTTTTATGAATTCCTACTCCAGGTGCCACTAAGTGATATTGCTGCCTTGTAATGGTACAAATTTTGGGCAGAGTCGGGTGGATCAAATAACACAGCTACTGAATTCTAGGACATTGGAGGGTGAAGGCAGCAAGGACGCATTGTCAGCCTCCCCTGCTAACGATCATGAGTCTTCGGATCATCAACCTGATGATGAGGTAAAATAATTTATAAGATTTTTTAGTTGCAAATTTTGCTTGGGTTAGCTTCAAAAGCTGATGTCTTCTGTGGATGTAGAGTGTGTGTTCACTGGAACTTGAAAGACGGGAAGCCATTGGTATGTTGTGATTGATCCCTTGAGTCACTGACTTTTACTCTTCCATTATCAAGTATACCATACAAATTACCTGTTTTTATACATTTTCAGGGGAGATTCTAAAACTGAATCCCAGCTATAAGCCACCTGCTGGTTATAAGCCTGTACCCAAGGAGGCAAAGATCCCATTACCTGTAAGTTTAATGCAGTTTCTGGCACTTTGTGTTTTTTCTTTTTTCTTTTTTATTTTCTCCTTATAGTAGCTTCCATTTTGGTTCTGTGAGTTGATTCTTAATTTTTCGAATTCTTATTAACTGCAGCAACTTTAAGGATCTCTGTATTTTATTAGACTACACTTCTCGGCTTAAAATTACTACTCTAGTAAGTAGTAACTACTACTAAAATCTTATAAGATTTGAAAATGCGTTGATATCGATAAGCATGATTGCTTGCCATGCAAAACAAGAAAAACTATGCACTGTGGGTGATTAATGGAGAAATTGTTTTCTGTCTCCTTGCCCCAACTCTTGCTTCCACAACAAAAAGGAGCAGCTTAAATATGAAGAGGCAGATGTACACCTTTTTGATTGTCGTATCTTTTAGTTTAGACTGATTGCCAAGAGCTAAGCTTTGCTTTATTGATGTATTAACTTATTTAAGGTCAAGCTGTATGATACAAGTATGGGAATTCGAAAGCATATTAATCAAGAGACATGAAATTAGATTCCTGTAAGACTAAGCATAATTCTCATTAAAGGTGAAGTGGTAGATCTTCATGAGGCATCTCTACATGTTTTCAATGCAGATCAAAGAACATCCTGGGTACAATTTTATAGGTTTGATTTTTGGCCCTGCTCATAAGCAACTGGAAAAGGTAATTAATTTCTAGCATCCAAGACCTTGAAGTTCTACTTATTGAGTAGATCGCACAGTAGTCAAAAGAGTTCCTGGTCATTGAGTGTTTTTTATTACTGAAAACCAGGAAACTGGAGCTCAAGTAAAGGTTTATGGTACCAAATCAGATACTGGAGAGAAGGTAATGCCCCCAATTCAATCCGTCATTTATATTTTAGCTCCCGTTTGGCCATAGATTTTGGCTTTATTTTTTCATTTTTTTTGAAAACATTGTTTGTTTATGAAATATGATCATGTTTTGGGGGAAAAATTCAGAAATTTCAAGTTCCCAAAACTGGTTTAGGGCAGTTTTTGGGTGAAATTTTTTCTTCCACTCACAAAACTTCAACTTTTCATCAAATAAAATGCATGTCCAAACACAACTTCAACTTTCAAAAATTATTTTTCAGCATAACTTCAAAAACTCTTTTTTCAAGTTTCAATCAAATCTATGTCCAAACGCTAGCTTAGACTAGGTAATTCTTCAAATAGATGTTTAGATGGGCATTTGAACACCTCTGAACAGGAGCTTTATAAAATCTATGTCGTACTGGCTTCCAGTATGCAATCTATCGTCGTTTTCGGACCATCAAGTCTCATATACGAGCGGCAACGGCAAGTTCCTATTATTCAACTTGATATCTTGAAATTTAACCTTTGTGTTACATCTGTCCCAGATAGAAGCTACTTCTGGTGAAAATGACTCTGGTGCTTATGAGGAAATGTATGTCCAAGTATCAGCTGAGACATATGAAAAGGTTGACGCTGCAGTTGCTTTAATTGAACTTCTGGTTACCCCAGCTTCAGTAAGTAAACACTAAACAGAAGTATGATGTGTTTTACTCGGTATTATTGTCAATGTCAGTGTGGCAATTCAGCTTTTTTCCTTTTTCCGTGCAATAACGTTTTTCTTGAAACTTCGTTTTGGTTGTGTCATAAAGTTGAGTGTTCCATTTGGCTCTCAGGTGACTCCAGCGTCGACTACCACAAAAACGTCAGGTGATGGAGAAACTATTTCCGGTGAAGCAACACCTGGCCCAACGACGCCTCCTGTAGTAAATCAAGGGGTGGCTCAACCAGTTGTGGGGATGCAACCTACTCAATTACAAGGTCATTTTCAGCCATATCAAGGACAATGGTTTCCTGAACCTGCATCTCAGAATCCAGTAACTCCATTTCCAGGACCCATTAACTCCTGGAGTTCTTCAGCATCCCTGGTCAGCAACCCTCACCAAGTATCTCCATTACCTACCAACCCGTCAAATGCACCCTCACCCTTTGGCCCACCACAGGGTATGGCAGATGGATTTGGTTCAGTTCCGCGAAACCCTTTTGTTAACTCTAGCCCACAGGCACCACCACTAATGCGGCAGCCTTTCATGCCTTCCACTCACCTCGGACAAATTGGTGGACCTAGACATCCGATGCCATCTTTAGGGTCCACACCAACTCAATCCAATATGACTCCACCTCAATTTTCTCAGAGCCAACCGAATCCAACAGGGTTTCCACAGGGGTTGAGATCTGTTATGTCTTCAACGCCTCAGTCTATCCCTCCTATGGCATACTCAGACCGGCCATTGACCCCAGGCGGGAGCTCTCCTGGATGGTCACAGTCACCATGGAACACCCAGACAGGTCAAGGAAGTCATCATCTTTCTTCACGACCAATGGGTGTCTCTACAGGTCCACATATAGATGTTTCGCGTGGCCATAATTTAGCACCCCAGTCATCTGGACCAACTCCATCTACTAATTCTGTTTTTCAATCTCAAACACGTATGCCTCCTCCAATGCATCCATCTTCAGGATCTACCCCTGCTCATTTCTTGAACCACCCTGTATCTAGCGGACAACCAGTCATGCATAATCTCTCACCTAATCCAACTCCTGGAAGTTCTCTTAATATTAATTCTATGAGACCTCCTTCCTCTGGAACTCCAAAACCACTGCAGACCAGTATTGATTTTACATTCCAGCCTCACCATCCACAGAATCCAGCCTCTCAAGTTGTTTCCAGTCCAGCTGGTCAATTTGGTTCTCAGGAATTTTCACCTCCAAACCAGATGATGCGCCCTTATCTACGACCAGCAATAGACAGTACAAATCCCCCACCTGTTAATCAAGGATTCCCAAGACCTCTATTAAGCAATCAGATTAATCAGCCAGGACCACACATGTCACCTGATTTCACTCGAGGACCTGCTGGCCCTCTCCCTCAATTTAGGCACCCGGCATTTTCAAATCAGGGCATAGCTTCACCTACTGGCCCTCAAATGCAACCTCTGAACTTTAGGCTAGCTCCTAATCATGTAGGTTCTTTCCCTCCTAGAGTAGGAAACCCCATGCCTCTTCAGCAAAATAATCTTACGGCCATGCTTCGACCACAAAATTTTGAGGCTCCCAACAATGTATTCTTTCGACACAGTAGGCCTGCTTCCAGCTCCTCTGGNGCCTAATATGCAATTCGTTTTACTGGGGGTCATAGAGACAGTAACCGACCCCTCCAATTTTCCTTCCTTGTATTGCAGAAAATGCTTTCTGATAGATACATTTTACAGAAGCAGCAATGTGCTTAGGAAACACTTCTATAAATGATGCATATCCGTACTTTTTTCTCTTATTCTACCTTGTATAAAATAATACTTTTTTCTCATATAACTTATACCAGAATTAGTAATATCACGTTTGGTTTATGGTATTTAACTCCCCCTAAACCAAATAATGGTATTAATTATACGGGGATTATGTTATTTATGCAGAATTTTATACTGAAAACGAAGTATTGTGTACTATACTTTGTTGCATACTATTCGAAGCCCTAAATTGATTTTCAGGATGATGCTCAATGACTTATTGTTTATTTTTCTAGATTTCTTCCCTTTCGATTTATTTTATAGAAAGAAAAGTAATAAACTTTACCCGAATCATCTCACTGAGTCAGTGGGAGCTTAGCCCAACCAGCTGTACGTATTTTACTTTCAAAATTTGGAAGGAAGTAGGAGATAGTATATAGATCTTTCCTTTTTTTGTTGGTATCTTGAGATATGCATATTTTTTTGTACTTATACTTTCAGTCAGGGAAAATAAGCTTTCACTAGAACAAGAATCTCTTCATAACAATCTTCACTTTGATAGGAACTGATAATGAGTTCGCTAAAAGACTCGTTTAGTACAAGGGATAAAGGATAATTAATTTCGGTATTAAATTTTAGATGAGTTTATCCCACACTTGGTTGGGATAAAATCGCAGTATAACTAATTTCGGGATTAATAATCCCGAGATTATAGTGTTGTTTATCCCTATAAGAGGGTGGGATAAATTATCTCGGAATAATTAATCTTGGGACAATTTGTTTCCCAACCAAACAACCCTAAGGCTTCAACTAATGCAAAAGAAGGTAGTCAACAATCTTCACCCTGCTGGATATCTCATGAGCATATACTTTGTACTTCTTTTTCTTTTGTTTAATAATCAAGAAATTGTTGATGGCTAGTTAGTGAAACTCAATGGACAATAGACATTTGTTCATGATGCGATTCGAACTCGTGCATATCACACACACACTGCTCGTTTATCATTGCATTGAAGCCGGGGCCG